ATTTTTAAAATTAGCATGTTATCGAAATGTAAATGTAGTGTGATTTTGTCCCTGTTTGGTGGAGATTAAAATCAAATTTTTAATAAATTTTGATAAAAGTTAAATAGTTATGGATTTCATGAAATATGTTATTAGGATTAATTGTTAACTTTGATTTAGATTAAAATTTAGTAACTTTACAAAAAAAAAAAATCAAAAGTTGGGGGGGCATGGGACCCCCCTTGGGTCCGCCCCTGGCTACCTCTAACCCCTTCTATTCCCGTCTTTTGGTCCTCCTTAGCCAAATAATATAGACGGGCCTCCTTCTAAAACCTTATTGTGGACTCTGTCTCAAAGAAAGCCCACCAAGTGACCTACCTTGTCGTAGGAGGATATCAAGAAGTTGACTTTCAAGAACGTCAATGTTTCTGAAGCTGTGTCATCTAGGCAAGGAATATTACTCGGATCTTAAGTAGCTTGTGTTGTGAAGCGCTCCCTAAGCTAATGCTACTAGGGTCAGTTTCGCTTCTTTTAGCAGATATGGTATGTTCTCCTACTGCTGAAGAAATATCCCTATTAGGGGAAGATGACCTCTCGGGGCTTGCTCCCCGATTATTGGTGTACTTTACTCAACATTTTTCTAAAGAGCTAGTTGTTTTGTCACTTTCCGTCGCTGCAGCCTGCTCATATTCTGGTGATCTCTCGGCGCCATCATCAGCTACTTCTTTATCATAAGAAAGAGAGGAAGTCGATGAACTCTCCGTCGCTGGTTCCGTCGCTGCAGCCTGCTCTTATTCTGGTGATCTCTAAGCGATATCATCAACTACTTCTTTATCATAAAAAAGTTTTGTCAAACCACCGAGATATTCATCTTCTTGTCGAAGGTAAATCAGGATATTGTATAATTGCTCAAAGTAAATTCAACAGTTTGTAGTTCTATTTAAGTAAGTTTGATAGTCTCGAATATTTATCGCATTGTAACTTTGAATTGAAGTACTTTCATATGTATTGCATATTTGCATTTGATCTTAGTCTTGTAGATTAGGTAAAGTACTTTAGTTGGTTGTCTCATTTTTCGGAGGTTAACCTTACTACCAGCTAAGATATACAGGATTTTTTGACTTTATAACATTTTATTTATTTAATAAATTAAAAGAAGAAGAAGAAAACATGTAGAGTAACATTTTGAGATATTTCATACCACAATTTTTTTTTAACTGCGTTACATTTTAATTGCAATGAATGTCTTCAAATTTTGCTCATTTTGTCTTCAACTTTTTTTGACGCGTTTTTATGTTTATTTCAATTAATTAACAAACTTTATCTCCAATAACGATTTGCCAAATATTATGTTAATGTTGGGAAAGTATTTTGTCGAGCTTTTGTATTTGTTATTTATCTTGCTTATTTAAAAGTGAGAAGAGTAAGTAAGTTAGTGTACTCCATCATAACCCCTTTTTTGACAATCATATATTTTGTGATAAATTTACAACTTTTCAATCATATATTTCATTAACGTTTATCAAAATCTACTATTTTTTTTTTAGTAAAAGCTTTCTTTAATCTTGTTTCTCATGAAAAATATATTCTAGATGTTAGGTGCTTCAAAATGAAGTCATTGTTTGATGGAGATTAAAATTATATTTTTAGTAAATTTTAATAAAAATTGATGAAATATGTAGTTAAAAAATTGATAAAAGTTGTAAATCTTATGAAATATGTTATTAAAGATTGAAGTTTGCTCAATTGTAATATTTTAGCAAAGTTTTATCAAACAAGCATCGAGTCTAAGAAAATTTGATTGGAACTAGACTTTCTCACCCCTTCTAACATCATTATGTAAAATTAGCCCTTGTTTGGTGTAGATTAAAAATAAACTTTTAGTAGATTTTTTATTAAAATTGATGACCCGTCTTGTGACACAACTATATAAAGCTTTCGTTTGATTCTACTAAAAATTTAGGTTAAAATCTATGTCAAAGTTTTTAATTTTAATCACATATTTCCAACCGTATATTCCTCGGCTTTTATCAAATATACTAAAAAAAACTAATTTTTACCTACACCAAACATGGGCAAAATGTACCAAAAATACAATCAAAACCGTTAACAAACTGTCAAATCTATATAAGCATAGGAGTTAAATCGCTGCAAGTCAAGCAACTTTAAGTAGAGTTAAATTCCTGATATTCATCTTCAATTTGGTACAATTATATCACTTCGATTTACTTGCACAACTAACAAACGTAATATGTAAAACTCGATGTTAAATTTCATAAAAGTTACATGATATAATTGTACTCAATTGAAGATAGTGACACGCATACAACCCATCAACGACCCATAAACATAGTATCAAGACACTTACACACTACCAACATGAGTCACCATCTAGGGTTTAGACCAATGCCTCAAATTGATTGAAATTTTGATGACAAACCAATAGCTGTAAAAAGTGGAAAACTACAACAAATTACTTGTTACATGATCTTGCATTCAGCAGGGTGAGTTTCTTCTATGTAACATACACACATTCCCATGTGACAACCCCGCCCACACCCACCCCCACCCCCACACCAATAATCACCCCGCCCACACCCGCCCACACGCCCACACCCACACCTACACCAATAACCATAACAACTGTAGTTACACGACAGCGGATATGGGTACCCATGGTAGCATGGACCCCCACCATAACCTTCTGAACATGGTCCACAACAAGTCCTTGCCGATGGATAGAGTGGGACTAGTATGCGCTCCTTCATGGGTGGTGTGGGTGGTGGAGGTGGGTTGTCGGGCTTCTCTTCTTTGGGCTTCTCTTCTTTGGGCTTCTCTTCTTCGGGCTTTTGCTCTTTACATTTTTTGGGCCCTTTTATTTCAATACTCTGGATGACCTTTCCACCTTTGCAACACAATTTGTCACGAATTTTTTCTGGGCTGCAGCATACTACATTGATTGTCACTGTATTTTGCTTGTCATCATATATCTGCCCTCTGATTTCTTTTGTCCCATTAAGTTTTTCATCAAAGAATACAATCAGTTCTCATACAAATAAGTCGATAACACGAAAATATATAATGTTTGTTCTTGTTCAATCATAATATGTATGAATTTAAAGACTTACGAGGAATGTTGCAAAGAATTTTTTTGATTTTCTTGTAGCAGGAAGGACATTGGAGATCAACCTTCAGCACCATCACAGTCACCTGATGGGACAAAATTGATGAAGATAGTATATGGAAGACAAAAGCAGTAGCTTCAAAAATTAAATATGAATGAAGAAAAATCGTAGCCACGTTCATATAATATAATAGAAGAACAGCTTTAAAATATTCATACCTTCTCACCCATGAGTAGATTTAATATTCAGAAAAATAAGTTTATGCTGTTGATTTTTAACTAATATGAAACAGATTTTTGAGGGAGAGAAGAATAAATTATGGTACCAGGATGATAGAATATGAATCGTGTCATTGTCTCGAACTTGAATTTATAAATAATTTTTGAAACGTCAAAATCTACTTTTTAAGGTTAAAAAATTGCACCATTTAATTTTATGACGTAGGTGGTGGTTGAGGGGTTGTTTCAATGCATAAAAGAGGAGGGAATCCTTAATGCCCGAGAAACGTAAATTACTTAACTCTGAAGGAGAAACAAAAACTCCTATGCTGTCACTTAACTCTGAAGGAGAAACAAAAACTCCTAAGATGTCACTACTGTACTAATTTTGTAAGAAAAATATTCTGTCAATGGGCTGATGATGCAAACACGAAAATGCAAACAACATTTAGCGTGCATTCATTGAAAGATGTAAAAAATAAAAAAAAATAGGCGAATCACAGTTCGTCACATCAGCTCTGTCAACTCCCCTTGTGAAAACTCCCGGTTTGAGTAGCTTAATTCGACGTGAAAGTGGTAGATATACCAAACCACCTGCCAATAGTAGGATATGATTTATGACTTTTGAGGGGTGGATTAAAATTGCAATTGAATGACGGTACAGAACATAGCGAAGAATTTCATGTGGATAATTTTCTAAAAATGCGTTGTCCAATTAAAAATACTTTTAGAAGAAATTGATCTAAGATTCAAGATCAAGTATTTCATCTTAAAATTAATATTTATTTAAACTTTATCTTGAAGAAAAAGCGTCTAATATGATATCAGCAATGTGAAATCATCAAAAGTGCTTTTCTCCACAGAATAGTAAGAGAGGGACAATGCTCTGTCTTTTGCGAAAAGGATACCATGTTCAAGCCTATCGTCCTCGTCATGTGCTTGCTTTGATAGGCACAGCTTACCTTTCCAATATTTATTCGACTACTAACTAACCTATAGTCATTTAAGGCCTTTTAATTAGGTTAGGTTAATTTAATATTATACATCAGGCAACACGCAAAAGGCACATTTTCAAGAAGGGATAATTCTTCTTGTACATTAGGGGTGCTATAATGGTGTCCATAATGGACACATGGCAACTCCCAGGACATGTTTGGAAAAGCTTATAATTGATTCTAAATTGGTCAAATATGTGCTTGTTTGATAAGAATTTTTGGGGGAAGAATTGATTTTTGAATAGTGATATGATGGAAAATTTGTGGTTGAAAAAGAAGAAAAAATTATTGATGTGATGGAAAATATTATTTTATTGAAGAATGTGTGGTTAAAAATGAGAATTGATTTGAGAATCAATTCTCAAATAAAAAACAAACACCCTTTTTATCTACATATTTCGTGTCTAATCAGGTGAAATAGAAGCGATATGTTTAATCGATTAATAATTTTTTGTTCTCCTTTCCCTTCTTACACGTTCTGTCAAATAGATGTCAATTAGCAGTATGTTCAATTGATTAATAAATTTTTGTTCTTCTTTCTCTTCTTATACGTCCTGTCAAATAGACGTCAATTAGTGATCACAACAAGAAGTGCCTAAGAAAAAAGATCATGTGCAGATAATGAAGAACCATAATAATGAACTACTCGGGATGCATATGTCCACAAGAAATTTCAGTCATTCATTAATAGTAATAGAACTCTACATGAAATTTTATCCTGTGATGCAAGTTGCAGCCAATTGCTACTCCCTTGTCCTGCCTAGATAGAGCCTTAATTGGAGTCCAGGCTGTGGCCAGATTTTTTTTAAGAGAGCTGGTTGATGTTGACTTGTGAGTTGTTGACCATTGAGTTTTGGGGTTTGAGCCTATTATTCTCCTTGATGGACTTCTGGTCATCCCATGCCAATGGATTGGGCCCACAATATAATTAGGGAAAAATTCATTTATCATATTTTTACTATATATTATTTCAAAAATAAGAAAATAACTTTCAAATTTCTAAAATCAAATATTTGACCCACCCCACCTCCACCAACCCTAACGCTCTGACGACTGCTCCGATTCCAACGAATATTCGGGCGACAACTCAGCCATATATATATATTTTTTTTTACAGTTGACACGATTTTTGACCTCTTGATTATTGCTTGTGACTAGTAATATAAAATGTGAACGGTAAATTTGAACCGTGACTCTACAAACACATGTGACATGTTAATATTGATTTGTGACATATAAAAAATGACTGTGACTTGTGAACTCAAACCCGTGACATAGATCTGTGACCTTAACGACTAATTAATTAGCCACAGTTAACTATCAAATTAATCGATCATATTGATCCATGAACTCAAACATGTGACCTTAACAACTCATTTATTCATTGCAAATCGATCACAATTTATCAAATTATTGGTCACAACTAATTTTATGGTCACACATCAAGAATTTTATAGGTATTTCTCGGTCATAAATAGAAAATTTTATAAGTCACGGCTTATTCATTGATCGCAAAATCAACATTTTTATTGGTCATAACTCGATTACAACTTAATAAATTGTGAGTCACAGTAACAATTTTTAGGTCACATATTATGCATCGATGACAAATCCAAAATTTTATTGATAACTCATTTATTTTATTGGTGACATTCTCAAATTAATTGGTCACACATTATTTTTTGTCACATATCACATATTTTATAGGTCACAACTTATTAAAATAATATGTCGTGTATTATTTTTCGGTCACAAGTCACAAATTTTTTTATTGGTCACAAATTATTTTTTAATCACAAATTATCGAATTTTAAGGTTACAGTACAAGACCGGTAAGTTAAAGTACTACATCAGTATATTAAAGCGTATTATATGAACCAAGGCAATGGTTGTCCTTCACAACTAGTTTTGCCAAAAGAGAATTTTGAGAATTTTCACAAACAAGAAAACTCACTTCATTACATTACACTTTGAAAAACGGAATTATATTTCCAAAAAACAATATCAACAACTTCAAATTGCTACTCGAAACTGCAAAAATCTGAATTGAAGAAAAAATTTGGGTAAATGGTAAGAGAAAGAGGGAAATAGAAGCAACTAACAATGGAAGTGTCTTTAATGCTGAGATGGGGTAAAGGGTCGTCGTTGCTAACGTGCACGGGGACAAGCGGCGCACCCAAGATGCCGAGCAGCAGTCTTAGATCTGACCTTGCAAACTCGGCCCAGAAGTAGAAACAGAAGGAGCCCTACACAACCAGTGGCCGCACTTTTCGTTTCTCGGGTCAGTACCTTCCGAAATGGAGAATGGAGAGATAGAGGAGGGGAGGAAGCGTCGGTGGCGTTGCGCACAATGACAACGTCGTCGGTGAGAAGACGGATAGAGAAGACAGAGAGTGAGAAAACAAGACAGAGAAATTATGCTGAAAGTCTGAAACTGAGAAATTAGGGATTTAAGGTAAGATGTGGTGGGTGTATATAAATTAATTTTTAGTTTTATAATATTATTATTAATAATTAATTACATATAAAAAAATCTATATATATAAAATATCTGATTTTTGAAAAATTAAACTTCCCACCTGATTTTTGAATATGAATCTTAAAAGGGGAAATTACACCTACACCTATAATTAGATTTCCAATTTCACAAATCAGATCACTAGTTTAATTTTTCAAAAATTAGGTTTTTTATATCTAATTAAATACTAATTATAAATTTTCATCCCAATCAATAATTTCATCCCGAAGTCAAAAACCTAAATTCATCTCTCTCCCTGCCGTCTCTTCTCCTCCCGCCTCTGTATTCCTCCTGCCGTCCATTGCCGTCTTCTCTCTTCTCCCTCTCTGGCGACCACCGTTCTTCTCGCTCTCTCAAACTTCTCTCTTTGATCCGGCGAAATAGCAAGCGCAGCCGTGTCGTGACGGAGCCCTTATGCGGTCCATGGTCTGAGGTGGGTCAGATCCCCCTTTTTTTTTGAGTGGTCAACCAGATTTGATATAAGAATACGGTGTATGAAAGACGAAGATAGGAGTTTTCAACGGCAGATTTGGGAGGTTGGCGGAGGTCTGCTTCTTTGTATCGCGATCGATACGTCGCAGATCTGTAATTTCTTTTTTTTTTTTAGTTTGCTATGGCGGATATGGCGGCAGTTTTGGCGAATCTGGCGACGTTTTTGTTGTTGTTTCGTGTTTTGAGGTTTTACACTGATTGTGGATATGTGATTTTGTGGTTGGTGATTGTGGATCTGTGGGTTTGTGGTTGGTGGTGGAGGTGGTTTTTGGGGTTTTTTTTGTTGGTGGTGGATATTGGCGACGATGAGGTGGTTTTGCTATGGATCTGGCGCTGTTGGCGAATTTGGTGGCGATCTGCAGTAATTATGATATGGCCGTGATTGATTTGTGTGGTTGTTGGTGATGGTGGTGTAGGTAGCGACAGTGATGCGGTTGGTGGTAGGGTGATCACAAAATTCAGTGGTGGTCACACAAAAAAATCTAATCGTGACCTTAAAATTGTGACTAAAAAATAATGTGACCAATAAATTTGAAAATTGACCCATATTTTTTGGATCTGTGACCAATAAAATAACATGTGACCTATAAAACTATTGATTTGTGACCTCAAAATAATTAGCGACCTACAAAATTTTTGATATATGATCGATAAAAAAATCGTGACCTATAAAATTTGTGATTTGTGACCAAAGAAAATATGTGACCTATCAATTAGTAACCGATGAACAAATTGTGACCTATAAATTTTTTGAAATTTGATCGTAAAATAATTTGTGACCGAAAATTAATATGTGACTAACTAAATTGTGAATCTGTGACCAAATTTCAAAGCTGAAACGGTCACCGAAATAATTGCCGGAATCAGAACGATCGCCGGAGAAGAGTAGTCGCCTGAACAGTCGCCGAAGAAGAGTGGTGACCAAAACGGTCGGTACAGGTGGTGGAGGTGGGGTAGGGTAATTATATTATATTAGAATTAAATATTTAATAATAAATTGATTTAAT